TTTTTTATTTTAAATCTAATATATCATATAGAATCTAGTGATATTTTAAAAATAGAGAAAAAAATAGATGAAATCATAAAGTCATTAGATAATTGTATGGATAAGATTGATAGCATACATAATTATAACAAGTTATCTTATAATCTTATTATTTTTATTATTAATGAAAAGGTAATAAAACCTTATGATACTAAATTTAATATCTATATAGATATATAACACTGAAGGCTATTGATTTAAATGAAAATAACTGTACTTTAAATAGAGATTTAAATAATAATGAATTTAAAGATCGTATTGAACATTTTCATAAGAACATGTCTTATGAAGAATTGAATGATTATTTAGGTATTTTAAATAATTTCTTATATTTTATAGAGCTAGAAAGAAACCTATTAAATGTTTATTGTTTAAAGCATATCATGAATATTTTTACTAATGAAATAATAATGAGTCAAGTTTTACAAAATAAGTTGGATTATCATTTAAATCATCTATATATTTTATCTAATGATGAAATGATAGTTTTAATATCCAAAATTAATAGAAAAGTACCTTTTTATTTATTTAAAAAGGAAATATTAAGATATTATATATCATATAAGATTATAATTTATAAAAAAAATTTAGACAATATACATCAGTTGTTATTAAAACATAAAAAAGAGAGTTTAATTAATGAAAAACTTAGAGTATTAAAATATCATATTTTAGAATTTATCAATTCTTTCTAAACTTAATAAAAATAATTTTATACTTTTTTTTATATAAAATTGATAATAAAAGTATTTATTATGTTTTTAAAATTTTTAAGTGATTTTTTATTTAAAATAATCATTAAACAATCTTGTATTTAATTTTATCTAAAGTTATCTGTATGAAGAACTAATAAATAATCATTAAATATTGTTGTGTTTAAAATTATTAATAATAACGTAGATTAAATGTTTTGATTTATAAAAATAATAGTTTTTTTTATTATTTTTACCGAAACTCCAGTGGTAAAAAACGCTTTATTTAATTTGTCTAAATAAGATCTTCTGACTTCTTTTTATAAATTATACTATTTTATCCTTCGTGTATTTTAATTCTTTTTATCATGAAGTTATTTTTTAAATATATTAATTAATTTCCTTTTAAATTTAATTAAATTACAAAATAACCTATAAAAAGATTCTTTCATATTACGAAAAATTTGATAAAGATTGATTAATCATTTTGATTTGTTTTTTATTTAAAAAAATGTCAAAAATGTTAATTTAAACACAAACAATACTATTTTTTATTGTTTTTATTAGTTGTTAATTAAATTTTATAATTGATATATTAAAAAACATGATTAGTTAAATGTTTAAAATACATAATATTATTTGATGTTATAATTAATAAAACCAGCAACGATTAAAAATATTAATAAAACAATCTTTAAGTTCTAATAAAATTCAAAATCTAACTTATAACTCATTTAAAAGTTATTAAATTTAAAAAACATGTAAATTAATATTCATTTATTGATTATATTATCTTAGTTATAACAACCTTAATTTTAACTAATAAAAAGAATTTTGTAAACAATAAACATAAGAATACTTTGAAAATTACTTCAATATATTGAATAATTACTTATATAATGAAATGACTGGAGCAATATTTAGTAATATAACCTCTAAGATAAAAAAATTCTAAGAGGAATATCTCGTTTGTAATTTGAAAATAAAATAAAATTATTTTTATTAATAGATGTTTTTTTGATATAAATTAAAAAAGGAAATTAGGATTTAATTATCAAAGAAAAGAATAAATTTAATGATAAACGTGTATTTTTAAATAAAATCAATTTTATAGCTAATTTTATAATTTCAAATATTTCTATAAATTTAATTTCTAAAATAAAACAAACAAATAATAATTAAAATTTGAACTTAAATAAGTGATTATAAGAAAACCAAATAAAAAACCTGAAAATTACTTAAAAAACCTGAAATTAATAAAAAAATCATTCAAAACATAATGAATTTCAATACAAAAAACCTCTAATAATTAAAATAAATAATGATGAGAATCAAAATTCTTTTATTATAAAAAAAATTTAAAATTTTTAACACATGAATTATTTAGTTTCTTTAATACAATTAATAATTAAAATGAAATGTTTTAATTTTGAAAATCAAGAAAGAAAACTTTCAGAAATGACTAATATATTAAACAACTCAATTAATATAGTTATGGCGAATTATGATATCTTCAACATTAATATTTTTAGATTAATTTCAATTATTGAAGAAACTATAGTCAATCGTCATATAGAAACTAATTTAAATTTACATTTAGAAAAAGAAGCAGTGATTTGTTCTAATGTTGTAAATTTAATAATGGGTAATAAAAAAGGAAGTATAAAAGGTAATGTATTTGAAAAGGAAATATCAGATTTGCATTCGAAAGTTGATCAAGTAGCTTTCTATATGTATTCAAATATTATATTTGATTTCTTCAGCACTTATGTGTTAAGAAAAATTTTATTTAATATGTATTGTTTAAAAATTTTTCAATGTTACTCTCTATTAGATCCAATTAGAAGGAATTTATTAAAATGTAAATTTGATTACCACTTAAATTGTTTATCCTTGTTAAATTATAATGTTTATAACAGTTTAAATAATATTAATATGTTAATGATTAGTGAATTTGAAAAATGCAAAGAGATGATTAGATTTGTTATGATTTTTTGTGTTAAAATAATTGAATATATTGATTTAAATGCAAAACACTGCCTTGAGAAATACAAAGATACATTAATTATAAATGAAAAATTTAAAAAAATAAAAGAATTGATTGATGAAGAAAGAGAATTTTTAAAAGATTTTAATTAAATTTGTTATTAAAAAGAAATATTCTGGTTTAATGTTTAAAACTCTTTTTTTTATAATTAAGAATTTTAAAAAAAACTAATAACTTAATGTCTATTAAATTATCAGTTTTTAAAAAAAGTTTTATATTAAAAAAAATCAATTAATTTTTTATAAAAATTTTTAACCCCAAATTATGAGTTATGAAAAAAAACCAAACAAAGATATATCATCAATAGATTTAACAGAAGAAGATTTGTACACAACTAAAAAGACTAATGAAGATAAAGTTAAAAAGGTAATTTATAAGGATGATGAAGATAAACAGAAGAGTGAAAGTAGATGGGAAGAATTTAAATTAAAGCCGAAATTAATTGAAGGAGTTTACAGAGTCGGATTTGAGAAACCATCACCAATACAATGTATAGCAGTTCCAGCTATAGTTAGTGGGAAGGATGTTAGAGCACAGTCAGAATCAGGAACTGGAAAGACAGGTGCTTTCTGTGTAGGTACACTTGAGAGAATAGATACATCACTTTCTACCACTCAGTGCTTAGTGTTAGTTTCAACAAGAGAAATAGCAAAGCAGATATCAGGATTGTATGAGACAGTAGGAGAATTGCTAGGAGTGAATTCTAAATTGTTAATCGGGGGTAGAAAATTGGAACAAGATAAGTCTGATTTAGTAAATAACAATTACCACGTAGTAGTAGGAACACCAGGAAGAGTTTATGAAATGATAAACAAGGGGTATCTTAAAATAGAAAATCTTAAAATGATGGTATTAGATGAAGCAGATGAGTTATTTAAGGCAGACTTCCAGTTACAGATAAGAGCAATTTATGAATTAGCAGTAGAATCCAAGGTAGGATCAGATGGTTTACAAACATTATTCTTCTCAGCAACATACTCACAAGAAGATCTTAATGTAGTTAGTAACATATCACCCGATCCAATAATCGTAGATATGAGGAGTGATGAGCATACACTACAGGGAGTTAAGCAGTATTTGGTATGTTTTGAGAGAAACTTTGGACCAAGAAATGATGAAGAAGCAAGAGTCAAAGAAGTGTGTTTTAAAGTGAGTACGTTAATGGCAATTATTGCAGAACAGAAGATCAATCAAATGTTAGTTTTTATTAGAAGAAAGAAAGATGCTAATATTGTAGCAGACATTCTAAAGCGTAAAGGATACAATTGTGATTGTATAACAGCAGATTTAGAACAAGAAGAAAGAGAAACAGTAATTGAAGAGTTTAGAAAAGGAACTACAAGGATTTTAGTTGCATCAGATATTTTGAAGAGAGGAGTTGATTTTCAAGGATTATCAATGGTGATCTGTTTAGATGTGCCACCTTATGATTCAAGAGATATTTATTTCCATCGTGTAGGAAGAACAGGACGTTATGGTAGAAGAGGAACTGCAATTCATATTGTTAACAGTTCAGATCTTTCTAATTTGTTAAGAATAGCAGGAGAGTACAAATCAACAATTGATTATTTGCCAGATGATTTTAAGTTTTCTGATTAAAATCTAAAATTAAGTTTTTTTTAATAAAAAAAGTTTATTTTCTAAGAGAATTAAAAAAGTTCTTAATTGAATTATCAGTCCGTCCCTTCAAATGTTTTGCAATTGTTGACCATTTATTTCCTAATTTGCTGTGCAATTGAATAATCAGTAATTTTTCCTCTTTAGTAAATGGATTCTTATTTACTGATGGATTTAAATGATTATGCCACCTTTCTCTACATTGCTTTCCCGTCCTCGTACCAATTTTTTCAGCTATAAAACTCCAGTTTCTAGCTCCATAATGACCAACCAACTTTCTTAATTTTTCATCCTCGTCTTTATTCCAAGGACCTCTATTTAATTTCCCTTTATTAAAATGTATTCTAATATTGGTTTTTAATTGAGTATGAAAATCATTAAAATCACTATTCAATTTTTTCCTCTCTTCGAAAAATTTAGTCTCCCCTCTCAAAATAACGTCACTGCAATCTGCTAAAATAGTCAATTTTCTTAGGTTGGTACTGCCGTATTTTAGGTGGTTATTAGCTCTATTGCGTAAATAAAATCTTAAAAGATCACCTTTCCCTGATAAATCAAATTCCTCATTTTCAACAAATTTCTTATTGAACATGAGGGGCTTTTTAGACAAAAATATTTAAATCAAAATAGAATATTATTTGGTCTTTTTTGAAGAATTATTTTATTATTTAAAATGGGTAGTTAATATTTTTGTATTTTGCTGATATTCAATTTTCTTTATTAATTTAAAATCATAATAAATTTTATTAGAATTCAATTCTTTTATTTCTATTATACTACCTACACCCAACAGTTTAGTATCAATTAAATAAATTACTGATAATTCTTTATTTGTATTTTCTACTATTACTTTTAATAGAAAATTGTTTTCTTTATTCTCTTTATTATTTAATTGACTTAATATTGATTTATTTATTATTAAAGAATCTTTTATTGTAAAAATCATTTAAATTTTAGTAACTGAATTTTTATTAAAATTTTAAATTAAATGATTGGCACGAATATACCATTAACTGATAAATTTATAGAGGCTTATCCACCTTATAAAGTTAGATATATGCAATTAGATCCAAAATCACTAATAGAATATAAATTAACCATAAATAAGATATGTAATAGAATATCTTATGATTATAATCAATTAATTGGTATTATAACTGAAATAAAACCAATGTTAAATGACAGACATTTTGTTGAAATGTTATTAAATAAGTTGATAGATCAAGGACGTGTATTAGTAAGTAATCACCTAAATAGCTATAAACCGATATCAATATTGATGAGTAAGTTATATGAACATAATAGTCAAATACTAGATGTTTATGTCAGATTAATCATAAGAAAAGAGTGTAAAATAACTGAGATAAACGGAATATACTCAATATACTTTGGAGTTTTAGTGTTGTTAAAGGATTATGAAAGAGCATGGTTTATACTAGCAAGTATATTAAACATTGAGCCAAATCAATATACAGGACATGTATTAGAGTATTATTTTTTAATATGTAGTCCGTTATTGGAAACAAAGAAAAAAAGACTATTAAAGTTGAAGAAATATTTAAATGATTTCTTCTATCCTAAAATAAGTAATATTGCAATTGAAACAAGAATAAGAGAGTATTTGAATAAAATTTAATTTAAATAAAAATTATAAACAAATGACAAACAAGAAGTATAGAATAGTGTCAGTTGGAGAAACGGGAGTAGGAAAGTCTTCAATCATTAATAAGTACATAAACAACATCTTTATATCAAACATATCCAATACAATAGGAATAGATAGCTTTACTAAAGAAGTGTTAGTAGATAATGAAGTAGTAGAGTTGAGGATTTGGGATACAGCAGGTCAAGAAAAATTCAATAGCATAACTAAAAGTTATTATAGAGGATCACATGGATTTATATTCGTATTTGATTTGTCTGATAGTGAAGGACTAAATAGATTAGAAAGAAAAATAGAGGAGATTAAAGAAGACACAAATGTACAGATTGGAATTCTAATAGGAAATAAAGCTGACTTAGTTAATGAAGTTGATGAAAATGAAATAAAAAGACTCTCCAACAAACTAAATATGAATTATTTTATTTGCAGTGCTAAAGATGGTTTTAATGTTAATAAAGCTTTTGAGTTTTTGAGTAAAGAAATTCATTATAAATTTAAAAACAGCTCTTTTAATAAAACAAAGAAAGTGAATTTAAACAAAAAGAAAAAACGTTATTTTTTCTGCTAAATTAAACTTTAAGAATGATTTTATTTATTCAATTTTCCTTGATCTAATTCGATTATTCTTAACACTGTTGATTGCAAAGGAAACAATTACATTCTTTCCATCAACTTGTAAATCTTTGTATTTTTGCTGGAGATCAATCTGTTTTTCTTGACTCTCAACATTTACAAAGAAGTAGCTTGATGTTTGGTTTGGATCATAGATATCACACTCATTAAACATCTTCATTACGTCTTGTTTATCTACTCCTCTTGGACACTTAACATACAGCTTATTCTCTGATACTACTTTCCTTGCTTCTGATAGTGAATCTGATGATGCGTAGAAGACTGGGTACTTAGTGTCTTTTATTAAGATTGTCTGTACTTCTGTGAATGCATTCTCACACTCTTCTGAGCTGCCAAATTCAATTAGATAGTTAAACTCTGACTCATTTCTTGCATTCTTTCTCTTAATTGTTACCACATCAAATGACTCAAATGATTTGGCCACTTGGTGCATTCTTGTATCGTTGGGCAAGTTATTTACTCCTAGAATGCTTGTCTTTCTCTTTCTTCTTAAATTATCATTCTGTACCATTACTGACATTTTTGAGGGTTGAAAAATCAAATTTTTAATTTAAAAATTTTCAATGAATTTTTAAATTAAAATTTTTTGTTACTAAAATTAATCAAATCAATTTAATTACTTATTTAGAAATTAATATTTGAGTTTTTGTTTAATTAATTTTATTAGTTAGTAGAATATAGTTTGTATTATTAACTTTATTAGTTAATATATTTTTAATAATGAAATGTGTAAAATAACTCTTTTAAATTAATTACTAAGTAATGTTTAAGTATAAATTACAAGTTTTTTAATATAATAATACTTGTTTTTTGATAGAATAATAATAATTTTTTTATTTTAGATACTTAAAAAAACTTTTATTTAATTTATCAAATTAATAAAAAGAGTGATGTTTTACAAGAAGATATAAATAAAACAAAATAACTAGAAACCTAACATAGAGAAGATATGTGCTACAACAATTTTCTAATATAAATATGTTAGAACACTGTAAAATATGATTATATTATTATAAAATACTATAAAAGATCATTAATTCCTTTTTGTACGATTATAAAACTTTGTTTGTTTTAATTGTTTAATAAAATGTTGTTTATTTAAACACAGTTCACTTAAAGGTTTTCCTTTAAACAGTTATTAAAATCTAATTAATAAAATCTTTTCTAATTGTTTTATATGTTAAAGATTTGTTTATATTATAAATTTTTTTAATTGGTTTTTATAAAGCTGATAAAATTATAAAAAAACCGTTTATTGTTTATAAGATGATATAAAAATAAAAATTAAAAAAAAATATTTTTAAATTAGATAGTAGTCGTTAAAATTTTTATGAACGTTTTTTTATTGAGTTAAAAAAGTCTTAAGATTTATTTTTCTCTTCAATTTGTTTTAATTTAGAATCCAGTAAATATTCATAATAATCATAATGAATTTTTGGATCATCAGGATTGAAAGGATTTATTAAAACCCAAAGGATATTTTTAAGAGCTTCTAAATCATTTTTAGTATTTGAAGATTTCCAATGAAAATATTTTTTAAACTCCTCAACTGAATTAATTTTTTTAAGTAAATTTTTTTCTTCATTTTTTATACTTTTCATATTTTCTAAACCACTTAAGATCAAATGGTGTTCTTCGTCTTCATTCAAATTTAATTTTATTATATCTTCCAAAAGTGATATTTCAATATTAATAACATCTAGTTCATTACAAACATTTTTATATTTTATAGAATGAATTAATAGGTTGACTTCAGTTTCTCTATTTTTTATAATTTTTTCAAGGTCTTTAAAAATAATTCTCCTTTTTTTATAAAGTTCATATTTTTCTTCTAAAAGATGATGTTCAGTTTTAATATAATTTCTTTCTTGATTTAAAATTTTTTGATTTAAAATTTCAATATCTGCTTTACATTCACCATAAAGTTTCTTTGAAGTTTTTAATTCATAAAGGCTTTTCTTAAATTCTTTTTGATCCGTTTGTTTTTCAGATTTTAAGAGATTTTTATTGTTAATGTTTTCCTTACAATTAATATGTAAGTTTTTACTTTTAATTTTCTTATTTATCTCTTTAATTTTCTTGATTTTTTTATGAATAAAAGTTTTACACTCCTTTTTTTCTAGTTGTTTCTTAAACAATAAATCCTTGTTTTCCCTTAATGATATCTTTAAATTATTTAAATCTTCTTCTTTTTGAATTAAATTTTTCATTTGCTCTTTAAAAAAATAAAGATCACTCAAATTTAACATTTCTACAAATTCATTCACTTTTATTTCTAAATTTTCCTCATCAGAATCATCAAATACATATTTTAAAAGTTTATTTCTTATAATTTTATAGTCAACGATGTTTTTTATTAAAAGTTTTACAGGTTTATTACAGTTATTTAATTCATCTTCTGTTACAATATATTTTATAACATTTAAAATTCTTTTAGATTGTTCTTTGATATCATTTTCAAAATCAATTGATAAAGCTTTTATCAGTAAAAAACTTTTTAAAAGATGATAAAAGTGAACTATCATAAACGGGGTATTTTTAAAATATTTTTATGATGCTAGTAATACATGTGATTTGTTTGACATTTAATTTTTAAAAACTAAAATTTCAGTTTAATTAGAAATTACAATAGATAATTTAAAAAGTTTATATTATTAATTTTAAATTTTAAAATCAATAAAAAAATAGAACATTTCGTGTTTGAAAAGGAGTTCAATTAATAAATATAAAGATGTTGACACATATAAATAAAATTGTTTTTTTCAGACAATTTTAAGTTTAAACGATAGATATATTATCAATTATTTAAGTGGTTTGTTTATTTAAAAATATTTTACAAGTAAGAAGTTTGTTTTTAAAAAATTAATAAATGTATTAATTTTACTATTGTTATTACAATTGACACTAATACTAGTTTTTGATACTTTAAACTTCCGTTTTAGTTATCAAATAAAATCTCTTAATATGAATGATGATATTAACTTTCAGAATATATTTAAAGTTATCTAAAGTTTTAAATCATATGAAGATAACTTAGTTAAAAAAACTTATTTGAATTTAAACGATGTAATGTATAAATAGTTTTAAAAATAAATATTATTAACAATCTTATTTTATCATATTGTTTGCTAATAATTTTATTAAAATGGGAAATTTTTGAATTTTTAGTAAATATATTGTCAATTATTTATTAAAATAACGATTACTTTTTTAATAATTAAAATAAATTTTATAATATAAATATTTTAATTCAATAATTAAACATTTGAACTGAAAGCAATTAATTGTTTTCAATATATGAAATATCACAAAAATAGGTTTATGTATTTAAATACTAAGAATTAATTTTTTTAAAAAATTTAATTATTGCTTTTATTTAATTAAATATAAAATTTTTATATACTTTTTTTCTTCAATTATGTTAATTTTTTGAATATTAAAAAATTTACAGTTTTATATTAATACACGAGTATAAAAATTTAAAAATTTTAAGTTTTTTAATAACAATTGAAAAAAAAATGTTTGCATAAACACCAAAAATATGTTTGAAAAGATTTTTTTCATATTTAATTATTAAATAATTGAAATATAAATGATTTTTTTATTTTTGTAATAAAAAATATTTCATAACAGTTTTAGGTTATTTTTTTGTTTGATTTTTTTTTCAAAATTTTATAAAAAATTAAAATTAAGTAATTTACTTTTTTTAACCAAAACAATATAAAGATTAAAGAATATAAAAAGCTACTCTTTTCTTAATCATTATACATAAATATTTTTAGTTGATATGTGATATCAAAAAATCTTTATTTGATTTTTGATAAATCATTTCTCACTAAGTGTTTTTACAATACAACAAAAAGCTTAATATCTTAATATTATAAAAAAATCTTTAACGATAAAAAAAGTAAAACAGAAAAAGCTTTAAAAATACAAATAGCTATGATTTGATAATAAATAACAATTATAACGGATTTATCAATTAAAATTTTTTATTAATCTATTTCAATTGTAATTTTCTAAAAAAACACCGTTAAAATATTTCTGTTTATTAAAATTACAAAAATACATCAATTTTACAATAGAGAAGTTTATTTACTAAATAATAAATTGATAAAAAAAGATTCAAAAATATAAAATATTGTAATTATATTTTAAAAGTATAATTTAAATTTAACTATAATAAAAATTAAAAACTGTATTTCATATAGCAAAGTATCAAGATTTAGTTATTTTTTTAAAACATGGAACAAAACTTTCAAATTAAAAAAATATGTATAATTATATAATTTTTCAATCTTTAAATCATTAGAATAAGACAATGTAAGAGTTAAACTTATGTATTATGTTATAAAAATATATAAAGTATTTTTAGGAAAAATTAAAAAAACATTGTTAAAAAGTATTGTTAAAATTTTTTAAGAGTTGAATTTATTCAAACTAATTTTGATCAACTTGATCAACTTCAAATTCGTTTATTCTCTTTTCAAATTCATTATCAGGATAAAATTGTTCAATATATTCTTTAAAACCATCTTTTATAGTTGAAATTTCATTATTATTTTTACTTGCCATATCAAGAGCTAGTAATATTTTCATGAAAATTTCATTACATTTATCACTTACATATTTATACTCATTGTTACGAAAAGAATGATTTGAATGAATAAAAGGAATCATTTTAGCTAAATTTAAAACTAAAATATAGTCAAATAATGTTTTCAATTCTGTGAACTCTTTTTCTAAAGTTTCAAAAAAAACTGGAGGCATAAAAAAATTAGATGATAAATTTACATGAATTTCTGTTAAAAACATTCTTTGAATAAAGTAACTAAGATTTTCAAAATTAAAGCAGTGATTTAATAGTAAAAATTCTTTCTTATTAAACTCATTATTTTTTTCATCTATCAATTTTCCATCAACAAAATAAAATATAAGTGCATTATAAATGTTTTTTTGTTGAAAAACATTAGTTTTTTCACCTTTAAATGATTCAAAAATTACCTTATATAAATTATTCAATTGAATTTTTAATTCATCCGACTCTAATTCTATTATTTTCTTTTTATCGAAATTTAAATAATGATTAATACGATTTTCTAATTGATGTTCTTTTTTAACTTTTAAGTCAGAATAATTTGTTTCATCTTTACAAGGAATAATTTTAACTAACTCTACTTTACTTATTCCAATCCCAACAGTAGAATTTTTTATTCTTTTTTCAAAATGAAATATATTATTTCTTTCTTCACTTAATTTAGTATAAAGAAAACCAATACATACACTAATCAATACAGTGCTTATAAATGCAAATATTGAATAAATTTTACATTTATCTGATAATCTTTGGGTTTTAAAACCGTTTCTTTTTAAATCAGAATTAATTGTTACTTTTTTCATAATAAGGGTTAAAAATTTATTCGTTTTTATTTTCAATATAAAAATAAATGAATATTGATAGTGATGATTAAAGAATGTTTAAACAAGTAGATAATGTATATGAAATAAAAATCATTTTTCAAATTTGATATTTATTGTTTTATGATTTTTAAAATATATTAAATATTTTGTAATAAATAGAATTTAAATGATAAATAAAACTAATATAAACAATTTTAACGAATATTCTGATATGTTTATTTAATTTAATTTAAAAACTTTTTTTATAAAATAACAAATAAAATTAAAAGAATTTTTCAACTTAAAATTAAAAAAACATCCTTTTTATAATAAAATTTGAATATAAAAATCTGTCTATAGAGGTACTCCTTATCTCTATTCCATTTTCTTCATCGTTTATTTCATCTATTTTATTAATATTAATTATGTTGTTTTCTAACTCTGTATCTGTCATAAGAGATTAATTTTTATGTCAAATTTATAGACACATTAATTTTTTTCCCTCTAAAAATATTCATTCAATAAACTAGTTTAATACACTTAATTACATATTACGATAATTAAAACAATTCTTAAATCAAAATATCATATTAAAATTATGAATGATATTTAATATGTTTTTTATAGATTTGAATTTAGATAAACTAAATACATTATTCTATTTTACATCAAAACTCTTATTTTCTAAGTTTAAGAATATAAAAAATAAGTATTTTTTATATTTATATTATGTTGTATGACTTCTCCTAACTCATCTGATTTCTGTTCTTCAGTTTCTTAAAATAAATCTCTCTTTTTCATAGTTTATTTGATATTATGGGTTTCTAAAATAATTTCTTAAATACCCATGTTCCAACATGAGATTCGAACCCACGACTAAAGGTTTCTAATCTAAAAATGTTGAGTAAATTAGGTTTATTCTATAATTTAAATTAACTTAAAATCACTTTTATAATTTAAAAATTTATAAATCCAATTTAAATTCTTTTATCAAAATTATTTTCTATAAAATATTTTTATTAATAAATAATTTATCCCATAAAATTTTTATAAATGAAGTTCAATCGAGAGAATTATATCAAGATGCACCAACAGTGGAGAAAAGAAGGGATTTTTGACAGATGGTATGATAAGATGTGTGAGGGAATTGGTAAAGTGGATAAGAAAGAAAATTACTATAAAGATAGTTTATTTAATCAGAAGACACAGAACTTTATTAAGAAATTCCAATCAGAGTTGGATTTAAATAACAATGGAAATATAGTAACAGATAGTAATGGCAAACCAATAACATATTTGTGTAATTATGTTGGTTGTAAAAAGGGGTTTACTAGTTCATATGGATTGAGATATCATCTAGAACATGGACATACCATGGCT